AGAAGTATCAGACCTGAGGCTTGAAGATGGGAGTTACGCAGATTCTGAACCAGGATAAAGTTGAGGCATTGAACAGCTTCTTTTCCTCGGTGTTCACAAGAGAGGATGCAACTAACCTTCCTGCGTTTGAGGACAGACGGTTCGACACAGCACTGACCCACATTGTGTTCACAGAAAAGGGTATTATAAATAAACTGCCCAGGCTAAAGGTCCAAAAGAGTCCCGGACCTGACATGGTGCATCCTAGAGTGCTAAGAGAGTTGTGCAACGAGCTTGCCGAGTCCCTGAAGATCCTGTTTTGTAAATACCTGGATGAACAAAAGGTCCCCAGTGAATGGAAAGTGGCTTATGTGACTCCTATCTTCAAGAAGGGCGATCATCACGAACAACTATCGACCGATGAGCTTGACCAGCATAATATGTAAAGTACTTGAGAGTATTATCAGAGATGCTGCAATGGAACATCTACTATGAAACAACCTTGTAAAGGATTGCCAACACGGTTTTATGCCGGGGCGCTCCTGCTTAACACAATTGCTCAAGGTATTGGATATTTGGACCCATATTCTGGAACGGGGTGGAAATGTCGACAACATTTACCTAGATTTTGCCAAAGCTTTCGACAGTGTACCCCATGAAAGGCTGAAAATCAAACTGGAAGGGCACGGAATTCGGGGAAATGTCTAGCGTGGATAGAAGACTTTCCACATGACCGCAAGCAGTGTATGGTGATTAATGACACGAAATCGTCATCCGTACCTGTCACAAGTGGGGTACCACAGGGCAGTGTATTGGGCTCGCTGTTGTTTGTTCGTTTCATAAATGACATGCCTGACGTTGTACACTCCTCCATACAAATGTTTGCCGATGACGCCACGTTATTTCGGGAAATCAAGAACCAAGCGGACTGTGAAGAGCTGCAGAAGGACCTCTGTGGGCTCCAAGAATGGTCGAAGAAATGGCTGCTGAGATTCAATGTCACGAAGTGTAAGAGGATGCACCTGGGGCGTACCAACGGTAAGGAGGCGTATCATATGTCCCAACGGGATGAAGAAACTGCACTAGTTGAGACTGAATGTGAGAAGGACCTAGGTGTGTATGTTGACAATGAGCTGAAGTTCTCGGGCCATTGCGAGAAGGTGAGCCTCAGCTACCCAGAGAGATTAGAGCGCCTGAGATTGCCTAGCTTATCCTGTATACTATAGACGGGCAAGGGGGGGACCTAATTGAGGTGTATAAACATCTCAAAGGGCACTTCTCAGTCGAGTGCCCTTACCTGGAGCTGGCGGACGCTCCCCCCACAAGGGGTTACAGCTCAAGGGTGAAGAAGCCGCAAGCCCAGATAACTGTGAGGGGTAACTTTTTTCGGAGTGAGAGTTGTGAACTCTTGGAACAATCTACCAGAGAGCATTGTGATGGCACTAAGTGTGAGCTCTTTCAAGACCAGACTTGACCAACACTGAGCAAGTTCAGATATATTCAAGAGCCAGTGCATGCCTAGTATCTGCCAACAGTGAGTATCAGAGACGTGACCGACCACTCAAGCGGTTAATGAGCCGACCAGTGGCGAAGAGAATAAAAGTAAAAGAATAACGGCTGCTCTGGTTATTGCTATTGTTGTTGTTTTATTATAAATTTTCACCATTTGTCAGCTTACTAGCCGTTCGGGTGATCGGTCTATCCAATATTAGTAGAGGAGAACACCAGAGTCCGGGAAACCTGTGATGTTTGGTAGTGAGGGTCACACTGGATAACACCCTTCTCACGTGTGTCCGGGCCGAAGCTCGAACCCTTGACGCATTAGTGAGAGATCCCACCAACTTAATTGTAAGTAAACACTTCTGTAAGTTACTTTAAACCTCACGAACGCGACACCATTGTCAAAGTTTGTAAAAGGATGGAACAATAAGTAGAGTATTTTTTCTGTATGTTGCTTTTGTATTATAATTTTAGTCAAGCAGTTAGGTGCATGTACTGTATATCTTTCGTTAGGAGGAACACTTACAGTACAACCCTTTGTAATGGAGGTCCAGTAAGGTCGACTGTCACCAATCCTTTCCCAACACTTAGATTTGGAATTATGTCATCTATTATCACCTTTACGATAACAGACCATGTAGATAGACGGATATTGTTTCACTTGCACATACAGGTACACCACAGGTTGGCCTGACGTCACGTAGTCAACATGATATGCATGGACGGCACAACTATAAACTTACAAAACACCCCTGCTGATAGTGGTGATTCATGCTATAAAATCACCTGTCATCACATTAATCACAAATTACAAGATCCATGAAATTTTATACTGAATTTCAGGATCAATAACAACTATAACAAAGGCTTATTGAGGTATTAATTGCTATTTTTCTCATATCTTACTATCTAAGGGACGAAGAAACTGCATTAATTGAGACTGAATGTGAGAAGGACCTCGGTGTGTATATTGACAATGAGCTGAAGTTCTCGGGCCATTGCGAAGAGGATAAAGTAAAGCGAAGTAGAGGTGTTGGTGGGCCACATGAGAGCTGTAAGGTGCTAGGAAGTCGTGAACAGTGGGATGATCACATCTTTGCATGTTAGAGTTATAGGGACAAGTGCACACTGGTAAATGTACTGGTTACACAGAGGCACAACAATCTTTCAAAGAGAATTTCGGAAGCATCAGCGACTTACGTGAGAAAAAAAATTATATATCCCTAAGGACAGAATGAAACCAAAAGTGGGAGAAATTCAGGAAATGAGGTGAGGGAGTTGATCGAAGGTCTTCTGTTGAATGTAGATAATTAATCATGTGTATAGTAGGTAATTGTGGCCCCGGGGGTGTCATGGAGGACAGAGAGTAGTTGTATAGAAGGGGCTAGGTAAACCATAATAAGTTGCACTTGTTATTTATTGTATGACGCTAAGTTATTTCGTGAAATTAAGAACCAAGCTGACTGTGAAGAGCTGCAGAAGGACCTCTGTGGGCTCCAGGAATGGTCGAAGGAATGGCTGCTGAGATTCAATGTCACGAAGTGTAAGAGGATGCACCTGGGGCGTACCCCACGGTAAAGAGGCGTATCATATGTCCCAACGGGATGAAGAAACTGCATTAGTTGAGACTGTATGTGAGAAGGACCTATGTGTGTATGTTGACAATGAGCTAAAGTTCTCGGGCCATTGCGAGAAGAAGGTAAAGCAAGCAAATAAATTAATGGGTCTTATTAGAAGGTCGTTCGGATATCTAGACGGTCCGTCCCTCGTAACGATCTTCAGGAGTGAAGTGCTTCCCCATCTAGAGTACTGCCACCCCATCTGGTCCCCGAGATATGCTAGGGACTGTCAGTTAGTTGAAAATGTTCAAAGGAGGGCCTAGCTTATAATACAGACGGGCAAGGGGTGATTGGCCTAGTTGAGGTGTATAAGCATCTCAGAGGGCACTACTCTCAGTCGAGTGTCCTTACTTGGAGCTGGCGGACGCTCGCCCCACAAGGGGTCACAGCTCAAGATTGGAGAAGCCGCAAGTCCAGAAAACTGTGAGGGCAAACTTTTTCGGAGTGAGGGTTGTAAACTCTTGAAACAATCTACCAGAGAGTGTTGTGACGGTACCGAGTGTGAGCTCTTTCAAGACTAGACTTGACCAACACTGGAGCAGGTTCAGGTACATTCAGGAGCCGGTGCATGCCCAGTATTTGCCAACAGTGCGTGACAGAGACGTGACCGATCGCCCGGGCGGCTAGCGAGCCAACCTTTTGGTGAAGAGGATAAATGAAAAGGAAAAGTAATCAGACGTAACCGATCGCCCAAGCGGCTAACGAGCCGATCAGTGGCGAAGAGGATAAAGGTAAAAGTAACTCCCAGATACACAAAACGGAAAGCATGCATTCTAATTCTAACCCCAGACGGCGAGGAACAATAAACTCCATTTCATGACGTTTGTCTGCCTGGTGACAGATAACAACAGACATGATATATGTTCTGTCAGAAAAAACAAAGATATCACAATCGAGGCTTATCTTAGATAATCCGTTATCTAGAAAGTTTGATAAAATTATGTATAAAATGTGTAACCTCAGGTATATTTATACACAGTACTATTGCCTGAAACTTTAAGTCACATAATTACATAAGTAATGAAAGCTGATTTTCTTAATAGTCTATTGTTTTAGTTAAGACTATCATTATCCAAATATAAGGAAAAGCAAAAAAACAAAACACCCTGCTTGGGAGACTTGTGGGTCTTAATTCCCGGAGGAATTAAAGACCCACGCCTACTTGGTCTAAAAGATTTTTTCATATATACCCGTATACATATTTTTTTTTAAGTAGTTAAACGTAGTTATAACCAATATTAATATATTAAAGTTTCAGACAAATCAGTTCTTATTACTTTAAAATGTGGCTCTGTCATTTCCACAAGCAGTTTGGGTCTGTGCAGCGAGTTTCAGATCTGACACCCATTATTTATATCAAGAGTTGTTCGCGCAATACTGTAACCTAACATTAATAATCTATTTTGATCTCCTTGCCCAATGCCCATTAACATATAGTTGCTAGCATTTCCTGTAAAAAAAAATACTTCCTTTTAATTAATTATCTGGATTAAAACAAGATTGATCAAGAAGTGGTTTATGAACTACGTAGGTATGCCTAGGTTCGTTAAAAAAAATATTTTAGTTAGACACACACGATTGCATATATACGGCTTACTTATACAAGAAAAGAAAACCTATAAAAAAGATTTATACATGACACTCAAGTCAAAGCTGCGATATACTGTATACTGTAACGTTCAGGGGTTTTTTCAGGGGATTGCTGTTCATATGTTGACTCACTCAGCTAAAAAATATGTCGGTGCAAAAGTGCTAATACACCAAAAATTTGAACTCGGACTCATACCATTTAGTAAAGGATTGACTGGGAAATGCGTCACAGTTGACCATAAACTGATAGCACAGTTAACGAACTGATAGTACAAGGCTATCACTCAACACCTGTCTCCCCGACGCCAGTTTTGTATCAACGCCTCACGAAGGAGTACATCACCTTCACTCTGCTACTGATATTCCCCAATATTATTTTCCCCGGAGGATATTACACCATATATAGATCTCGCATTTTCGAGGATATCAGTATTTGAACTTTTGTTATCTTGTGAGCTAAAAGTTCAGTACAGGTGATAGTTTCTAGACGGTGTCAGCAAACTCACACCAACATGATTCTCCGTCCTTGGGTAAGTTACTCTCGTACATTATGGCAACATTGTCAGTTTATCAATAACATAGTAAGATTACTATAATATATATGTAGTGTAGCAAAGCGCAGTTTTAAAGCATTTCCCTAAGAGATGAATAAAGGCTGCCCAGTGATCAATAAGAGACGTGGTTTATAAGTGTTACTTATCAGCAAGCAGTCTTGACTCGAACTATGTCCTGGGCTTGAATCTTGAACGGTTGAAAATCTTTCTTTTCTCTCAGTATCATATACGTGTGTGTGTAATAATAATAATAATAATAATAATAATAATAATAATAATAATAATAATAATAATAATAATAATAATAAACGGTTTATTACTAGAGTTGCAGCCGGTGGCTGAAAATATACAGACTTACATTTGATTTAGACATAATGATATAATATGCGTTGAATACATTTACAGGGCTGTACAGTACATAAATCAGGAGTTGTGTATTATTTTAACGATAGATGGGATGGTGCTATTCTTATATCTATCGGTGCTGGCTCTTATGGGCTGAATTTTGTTGTAGTGGCGGACTGCGCGAGGTGGGTGGGGGGCTGCCGATGGCAGGAGGTGGCGATGGCGAGGGTGGTGCATTAGTACGTACTTGTCATTCACTATCCACGCCAGTCGGAGCTAAGAATGGACCATTAAATACGATAAAGAAATATTTCAAAGCATGACCACATCGCACGGTAATGCAGAGGGAACAACACAAGAACATCCTGCAGGACTTGAAGCAGAAGAGGCAGGAGTCAAGGAGGAACGGGGACGGGTGTACATGGGTTATATTCAGAGGGAGGGTAGTGGAAACAAGTGTGCCGACACAGGGCCAGGGGGCAGCAGCGCACCCTCCACCCGCTCTACCCCCCTACCCGGGAGGAGGCACCAGCTCCGCCTACCAGACAGGAGGAGGCGAGCGCCGTGTAAACAATGACATTTCTAACAACACCCTGCAAAATACAGTGTACTTAGCAAATGCTGCTGCTTCTGAGAATGGCGGGGGTAGGGTTACTACTAAGAACAAATTCCGGCTTGAATGTCATGTACACTAATACTGACACGTTTCTTGATAAAAGAGAGGAGTTTGAAACACTACTGAAAGTACACCAACCAGATATTGTAGGAGTTGTAGAACTGTTGTACAAGAACAGGAGAATCGACCCAGAGGAATTTGAGTTCAATATTGCTGGATATTACTCATTTACGAACCTTTCTCAAGAAACTTGCAAGAGGGGTGTGGTTATCTAAGCTAGGCAAGACCTTAGAGCCAGCCAGGCGAGGGAACAGGGAGAGGATGTTTTTGAAGAATCCAGGTGGTGTAAAATTAAATTAAAGGGAAGGGACTTACTTATTGTCGGGTGTATCAACAGATCCCCAAACTGTGGCCCACTAAATCAAAGGAACTAAAGAGCCTTAATAGATAACGCGGCGATGCTCAACCCTAGCCACCTCCTTATCATGGGGGACTTTAACTATGGCAACATCGACTGGAGAAACGAGTTCACCCCAAATGACTTGAATAACATGTTAGAGACTCGACACATTACAGAGGGGAGCAAACACCCAAGCCACTTGACCTCATCATAACAAACGAGGAGGGTATGGTGGCCAAACTGGAACACCTTGCCCCAGTTGGCACCAGTCACCATATAGTGTTGTCATTCAGATTTAACTGTTACCTAGTTTTCAGGATAAGGCCAAGCCAAGGTGTAAATATTACAAGGGAAATTACAACGGGATGAGGGAAGAGATGAAAGGTATCCACTGGCCTGACTCATTAAGGCACAAGAACGCAGACACTACGCTGAATATCATAACTAATAAAGTGACCCATTTGATCGATAAATATATATCCAAGACCAAACCCAGTGCCTCTAGGAATACGACGGGATCCTTACACATGAACCACGCGGCGGTCGACCAAGTGAAGAAGAAAACACAGAAATTCAAGACGTGGGTTGGGTCAAACGATGAGCAGGACAGGAGGATGTATGCAAGAGCCAGAAACCAAGCAAAGATAGAGTGTAGAAGGGCTGAAAAGGAGTTCCAGAGGCTGGTTGCAAGCGAAGTCGAGTCATACCCAAAGGCGTTTTACAGCTATGCGAAGTCGAAATTAAAAACGCGAGTAGGAGTATCAGACCTGAGGCTTGAAGATGGTAGTTATGCAGATTCTGACCAGGATAAAGCAGGCATTGAACAGCTTCTTTTCCTCGGTGTTCACAAGAGAGGATGCGATTAACCTTCCTGCGTTTGAGGACAGACGGTTCGACACAGCACTGACCCACAATGTGTTCACAGAAGAGGGTATTAGAAATAAACTGTCAAAGCTAAAGGTCCATATAAGTCCCGCCCTGACGTACTGCATCCTAGAGTGCTAAGAGAGTTGTGCAACGAGCTTGCCGAGCCCCTGAAGATCCGGTTTTGTAAATGCCTGGATGGACAAAAGGTCCCTAGTGAATGGAAAGTACCTTCTGTGAGTCCTATCATCAAGAAGGGCGATCGTCACTCCACGAACAACTATAGACCGGTGAGCCTGACCAGCATAATATGTAAAGTACTTGAGAGCATTATCAGAGTTGACGCAATGGAATATTTACTACGAAACAACCTTGTAAAGGATTGCCAACACGGTTTCTTTTATTTTTTTTCTTTTATCCTCTTCACCACTGATCGGCTTGTTAGCCGCTTGGGCGATCGCTCACGTCTCTCAGCAGTTTTCCTTTTCATTTATCCTCTTCACCAAAAGATCGGCTCGCTAGCCGCCAGGGCGATCGGTCACGTCTCTGTCACGCACTGTTGGCAAATACTGGGCATGCACTGGCTCCTGAATGTACCGGGGCGCTCCTGCTCACCCCACAAATGCTCAAGGTATTGGATATTTGTACCCATATTCTGGAACGGGGTGGTAATATCGACAATATTTACCTAGATTTTGCCAAGGCTTTCTACAGTGTACCCTACGAAAGGCTGAAAATCAACTGGAAGGGTACTGAATTCAGGGAAATGTCCGAGCGTGGATAGAAGACTTTCTACATGACCGCAAGCAGTATATGGTGATTAATGGCACGAAATCGTCATCCGTACCTGTCACAAGTGGGGTACCACAGGGCAGTGTATTGGGCCCGCTGGTGTTTGTTCGTTTCATAAATGACATGCCTGACGTTGTACACTCCTCCATACAAATGTTTGCCGATGACGCCAAGTTCTTTCGGGAAATCAAGAACCAAGCGGACTGTGAAGAGCTGCAGAAGGACCTCTGTGGGCTCCAAGAATGGTCGAAGAAATGGCTGCTGAAATTCAATGTCACGAAGTGTAAGAGGATGCACCTGGGGCGTACCAACGGTAAGGAGGCGTATCATATGTCCCAACAGGATGAAGAAACTGCACTATTTGAGACTGAATGTGAGAAGGACCTCGGTGTGTATGTTGACAATGAGCTGAAGTTCTCGGGCCATTGCGAGAAGAAGGTAAATCAGGCAAATAAATTATTGGGTCTTATAAGAAGGTCGTTCAGATATCTAGACGGTCCGTCCCGCGTAACGATCTTCAAGAGTGAAGTGCTTCCCCATCTGGAGTACTGTCACCCCGTCTGGTCCCCGAGATATGCTAGGGACTGTCAGTTGGATGAAAATGATCAAAGGAGGGCCACCAGACTGGTGCCTGCACTTCGGCACCTCAGCTACCCTGAGAGATTGGAGCGCCTGAACTTGCCTAGCTTATACTACAGACGGGCGAGGGGTGACCTAATTGAGGTGTATAAGTATCTCAAGGGGCACTACACAGTCGAGTGTCCTTACTGGAGCTGGCGGACGCTCGCCCCACAAAGGGTCACAGCTCAAGATTGAAGAAGCTGCAAGTCCAGAAAACTGTGAGCAAACTTTTTCGGAGTGAGGGTTTTAAACTCTTGGAACAATCTACCGAAAAGTGTTGTGACGGCAACGAGTGTGAGCTCTTTCAAGACAAGACGTGACCAACACTGGAGCGGGTTCAGGTACATTCAGGAGCCGGTGCATGCCCAGTACTTGCCAGCAGTGCGTAACAGAGACGTGATCGATCGCCCAAGCGGCTAACAAGCCGATCTTTTGGTGAAGAGGATAAAAGAAAAGGAAAAGTAATCAGAGACTTGACCGATAGCCTAAGCGGCTAACAAGCCGATCAGTGGTGAAGCAGATAAAAGTAAAGTAAAAGACAGGTGCTTGTACTTCGATACCCCAGGTACCCAGAGATTAGAGCGCCTGCAATTGCCTAGCTTGTACTAATGAGGTGTATAAACATCACAAATGGTACCATAAACATCACATATGGCACTAAACATCACAAAGGGCACTATAAATATCACAAATGGCACTATAAACATCACAAAGGGCACTATAAACATCACAAAGGGCACTATAAACATCACAAAGGGCACTATAAACATCATAAAGGGCACTATAAACATCACAAAGGTCACTATAAACATCACAAAGGGCACTATAAACATCACAAAGGGCACTATAAACATCACAAAGGACACTATAAACATCACAAAGGGCACTATAAACATCACAAAGGGCACTAATCAGTCGAGTGTCCTTACCTAGAGCTGGCCCACGCTAGCCCCACAAGGAGTCACAGCTCAAGGTTGAAGAAGCCGCAAGTTTTCTGGACTTGGCTTCATCAGCCTTGAGCTGTGACCCCTTTAGGGGCGGGCGTCGGCCAGCTCCAGGTATGGACACTTAATTGAGTAGTGCCCTCTTGAGATATTTATAAACTTAAATTAGATCACCCCCTGCTCATCTGTAGTATAAGTTAGGCAGTTGCGAGCGTTCGGATAACTGAGGTGCCGTAGTGTGGGCACCAATCTAGTGGCCCTCCTTTGGATATTTTCAATCAACTGACAGTCACTATCATATTTCTGGGGTGAGTAAGGGAAGCACCTCATTCTTGAAGATCGTTACAAGGGACAGACAGTCTAGAATCTATATACAGAGTATCTGAACGACCTT